ATCCCCTGAAATATTTCCATTGTGTCTGGGGTGGTCTGAGGTTCAAGGCTGCCACTGACTTTGCTGTGCAGGCAGCCAGAGCCTGACTCTTTGGGTTTAGTCTTTTCCCAAAGAAGCAAAGCTCTGGCCTCCTACGTTGTCGTTCTCATTTCCACCCAGCTGAACAAGGAAAGTGTGATTAGCAGAGATCTTCAACACAGGGCTTATTGATGGTTTCAGAGTCCTTAAGTAAAGTGAAAATAGTGTAGAATTACCAGATTTTTTACTGACTGGTGCTGGTACACTCCCCAGCTGTTAATGAGTCTCATCCCTAACCTTCTGTGTAAATACCTGAGCAGAAATACCTAGACCAGTGTCTTGTTATGACTCACAAAGCTGGTTCCACATGGATGCTTCAAGTCAGGTGGTTTGTGGGGACCAAAATCCAGTAGAACCTCAGTAAGATGACCACCCAGGGACTGTAAGAAACTGATCTACATATAGGGGTATGTAGGCCTACTGGACTGATATGTACATTTGGTAGTGTATGGAAATTAGGTCAGCTTAGGAGGTCAGTGTAGGAAGGTGGTCAACTATGGAGGTTCTATTATACTTGACAAGTTTTACTGTGAACTTACTCTGTTCATGAGACTGTGTAAGGCATGGTGGGGAGTGTGAATGAATGAAGTCCCATCCTTGCCCTCAGGTCAGCCACTGTCAGAAGGGGCCACACTGCGTCTGAATCTTGGTCTTCTGATGCCTTGCCCAGGGCTCTTATCACTATGCACATCACTGAACTACTCTCCAACACCTCTCTCTGATATCATAGGCCTGGAGACACACTCTAAACCTAGAGCACTCACCTGCTGTCTAAATATTGCCCCAATTATAATTTCTTTTTAGCCATCCTGCTGGCTACATAACTGTGGTTAGGGGCAGAGAGAATCCATGCTGATCCCAGTGGCAACTGGCAACTCATAGGCCGCTAGGAAAAAGCCAGTAACCTTACATTATCACAAAGGTGAACGCAAACAGTCTGCGTGCAAAGGTTGAGCGTTGCGTGCAAAGGATGAGCACTGGGGCAGCTGCAGCCCTTGAAAATGGAAAGAAAATATTAAAAATTCATCTGCAGCCATCTAGTCACTATCCAGAGGATTGTAATGGATGGAAAAGTGTGGTTTAATTTTAAAGCTGGATAGCTTAACTGACATAGTAACAAACAGTGTGGCATGGGAACCTGCATATTTATAACATCAGAGATGGCCCATGACCTTCACAGTGTGAGCAGGGAGGAAAATAATGATAGGGCAGGACGGTGATAGCTTCCCACTTTAAGGAAACACACTTGACGAGTTTGGTCAACATCCTAACAGACAGCAGGGCACCCCAGGGAGCACATGTGCTGAGTTCTTTGTAAACTTGGATGGGCTCTATTTTTGTTAAACCAATCTAAATTTATTTCAAAAAATTTTGCTCAGTGGCAAACTACTTTCCTGCTTAGTATTGGTAGTTGTTTGCCTGGGGTTAGCTGGTGGTGAGGATGGTCAAAGAGCAGATGGAGTGTGAGTAGGAATTTCTGGCCCAGAAATCTGAAGTATGGGGGGGCAGGGTGATCACAAAATTGGGTAGCAACCAGCCACACAACACATAAGTGAGCAAGTGAATCATTATACCTTGTAGAAAGGGGCAGTTTATACTTCCCATCCCAAAGAAGCAACAGATTCTTTTCTACTTCAAAGTTCAGAACAGATCAAACAGGAAGTTAAAATCAAGGTTTCCAAATCCCAGAATAAAAACTTTGTTGATATAATTCATATAATCTACTCTTTAGACAAAATGTGGCCTACAAGAGTCTCATCTTCAGAGAAATTATTATGATTTACTAGAAGTAGTTCCTTGCTACTTCTCAAGGTAAATCTGAGCCTCTTTTTTCTCCAAGGCTGAAAATAGTGGTATAATGGTGTTGTTGCAATCACCAAATTTTCACATTAAAAAATTTAGCTACTTCTGGCGAAGATGGAACAAATGAGATCAGATTTACTCTCTCACTTGAAAGTAACAAAAGAAAATAGCCCAGATAGATAAGAGAATGGCTTTTAAGACATTAAATATTAGGCAGGGAAGCACAATGATCCCTAAGAGTCAGAAAACAAATGAGGTGGGCATACATCTAGGTTGTGGTTCAGGGAACTGGGGTACTCAGGTGAAGACTGGAGTTTTCTCTCAGTTGAGAAAATGGAGCTGGGGACTGGGGGAGGTCAGTGGGTTAGAGTCTGCAGGGCAGGGTACCAGAGAGGGCTGAGCTCCACAGAGAGAAAATTCTAAAGATCTGAAGAGTCCTTTTGAATTTTCAGCCACATTCTGATCAGTGCATGCCTGTGAAGAAAGCATTCTAGGCTGGGGAAAGAATTCTAGAGAGATAATCCTTAAGAGTCCACAGAAGGCCAGAAATAGTTCCTGTTCTCACCAGCCCAAACGACACATCTCACCATGCAGGGGGGATGGGGCAGAACACTCAGAGGGTTTTGCCTCAGGAGTGTGGTAGGATTAGCCTGAAACTAATTGCTGATCAGTCTGCCTAATAAAGAGGAAAAGGAAGATCCATAATGATCAGATTCTCTTTGAGTAACATAATTTTATCTAAGAACAAAGCTCAAGAATATTACAGAAATAAAAATGTATCCAGTACTCAGAAAAGGAAAAATTCACAATGTCTAGCATCTAAAACATTTCTCCAGCGTGCAAAGAATCAGGGATATATAACCCATAAAGAGTAGAGAATAAAGTCATTTGAAACTGCCCAAGAAATGACAAAGATGATAGAATCACCAGACAGGCCCATTAAAACAGTTATGAGTATGTAATTATATTCCATAGGTTCAAGAAGCTGGGAGAATAACTGGGTATATCCAAGAAAAACAAAAGACAAAAAAGATTAAAAGACCTAAATAAAAATTCTGGAGAGAAAAACTTCAATGTCTGAGATGAAAAATAGAAGGGGTAAAATTAGGAGATTAGACACAGCATGAGAAAAAGTATGTGGCAACTTTTCATAGCAGCATTTCTGATAGAGAAAAAGTAGAAACAACTCAAATGACCATCAACAATGCATGAATAAACAAAATATGTTATATTATATATTATTCCTTCATAAAAAGGAGTAAAATACTGCTTCATGCTATAACATGGGTGAACTTTTAAAACATTGTGCTAAGTGAAAGAAAATGTCTCCTATTGTATGGTTCCATTTGTATAAAATTTCCAGATTATGCAAATCCATAATACAAAAAGTAGACTAGTGATTTCCAGGGACTTAGGGGAAGGCACTCACTAGGGGGAGTGACTGCTAATGGGTATAGATTATCTCTGGCGAGTGAAGAAAGTATTCTGGAATTAATGGTGATGGTTGCACAAATCTCGTAAATATATTAAAAACTACTGAAATGCACATTTTTTTTTTTTTTTTTTTGGGCTGGGGCTGGGTTTGAACCCACCACCTCTGGTATATGGGGCCAGCGCCCTACTCCTTTGAGCCACAGGGGCCACCCTGAAATGTACTCTTCTAAAAGGGTAAAATGTGTGGTATGTGAAGTATAGCTCAAATAATTGAAAAAGACTCCAAATAAGGATATCTTTTTTTTTTTTTTTTTTTTTTTTTTTAGATAGAGCCTCAAGCTATCCCCCTGGGTAGAGTGCCATGGCATCACAGTGCACAGCAACTTCCAACTCCTGGGCTCAAGCGAGTCTCCTGCCTCAGCCTCCCAAGTAGCTGGGACTACAGGTGCCCACCACAACACCCGGCCATTTTTTAGTTGCAGCCATCATTGTTGTTTGGTGGGCCCGGGCTGGGGATTCGAACCTGTCACCTTGGGTGTATGTGGCTGGAGCCTTAG